CCCCAAAACCCCAAAACCCCAAAACCCCAAAACCCCAAAACCCCAAAACCCCAAAACCCCGGAAAATATATTAATTGTTGAAAGTTTATCAATGGTTATTTCCTCTTCAATGTCTTCAAGTGATCACCGACTGATTTCCTAATAGCAATGACATCATTCTCATAATTGGAATAGTTGGGCATCTTTGACAATGCATTACTGAGGAGGTCCAAGAACTTTAGCTTCGGAGCCAGAGCCTGGTAGTTCCCTCTATAAATCGATGATCCCAAAGTAATCAGTGCTTTAAACAGTAGATCTGAGTCTGGGGGATGTTTCAAGATTCATTCTATTAGTTAAGGGTAATAAACCTACCTTGAATCCATTTGAAGATTCCTTCTCCGGTAAAGAATCAATTTATGTTGGTCTCGATGAAATAATGCAAGCTCTTTACCATCTTCGTATAATTGTCATCAACCGATGGGCTTTGGAATCCCTGGCTCATCGGTGCTCCAAAGCTGCCCATCGGTTGAGCTCCTGAAGGAGGATATGTCGGAGTAGACATTGGCTGATTCCATTCAGAGCCAGATAAATGTAAACTAGATGAATAGTCCTGACTCATTCCTCCAACAGTAAATGGTTCTCCTCCAAACCCTCCTGTATATCCTGTGTTTGGCATTTGTCTTGAAGGCTGGCTCATATGTGAGAAAAATCCTTTAACCTCAGGTTCTCTTGGAGCTTCTTGAGGAGCGTGCTCAAAACTAGAACTTAGGAGGTTGTTAAAACTGTCTTCTTCAAGCTGGAAAGGTCTAAATCCTTGGGAAACTGAGGGTTCTTGAGAGGCTTTCTTTAAATTTTCTGAGATAAATTTGTCTACTTTCTCTTCCATTTCTTTAACTTTCTCAACATTCTCATCAAGAGCGTCCTTGACATTACTAATAAGCTCTGACATGGTATCCTCGACTACCTTCTCACATTGAGGAATAATGGTGGTATTAAGGATTTTCTTGAGCTCGTCAGTCATCACAGTAGAGATAGCATCTTTGGCCTTCTGCTCTGCTGTCTCTTTTAACTCATCAATTTTCTTCTCAGCGAAGGCCATGATGGTAGATTCAAGGAACTTGTAGTTCTTGTTATGGATCCCCTGAAATTTGTCTTTAGTCTCTCTGACAATAGCTGTGATTACAGTTTGTTTAACATTCTCTTGTAAGAGCTTAGGAAGCTCCCTTCTGATTGTCTCTGCAGCAAGATTTTCAATATTCTTCTGATATTTATTGTTGTTTGAATTCGTACGAGCTTGGCAGCAGCTGCATTCAATTGTTTCAATGTTCTGAGGCATGCGGTTTCTGTGAGGTTCTTCTCGCTTATTCTCATCGCTTATCTTCATCGTTGATGCCTTCTTAATAATTTGTGGCTGAAGAGAAGAATCATCTTTGCTCTCTTCTTGAAATTTATTATCTGTTGATCCCACATCACTAGGCTTTTTCTCTCCAAAATCTCCTTTGCTTTCTTCAGTAGATGAGGGCTTTTGCTCTGGCTTGTTCTGGTCCTCCTTGGATTTATCCAAGGCTTCTTTTCCCTTATTGAGCATTCCCAATAATTGATTTGGGTTGTTCAAGAAAGGATTCTGGGCATTTTCTTTACTATCTTCGATCTCTATTGCTTTCTGAAAGGGAGGTTTGTCGTCACGATGCTCTCTTTCAGTTCGACCTCTTCGAATCTTAACTCTTGAAGCGATAGAGTCTTCAGATTTACTAATCTGAGAGCCAGTGGTGGTTCTATCTCTGATATTTGGCTGGATAATTTCTCCATCTTGCTTCTCTTGCATATCCTCATGATGTTTTTCTTCTGAAAGATTGTTTGGATGGCTTTCATCTTTTTCTAGATCCAAGCTACAAACCTTCACATGAGTCTTTGGTGAATTATGAGCATTCTCAGAGCTGAGCAGCTGCTCAGCAGGAATATTTTTAGGCTTAGAATGATCCTTGGATTCCTCCTTTTCAGTTTCTGACCTTCTTTGCTTCTCCAAGGTTTTAGAACTCTTATCCAAAATTTTCTCTATATGAGCAAATTTTTCCTTATCTTCAGAGTCAAGATTTAGATTTTGCAGCTTCGAAGATTGAGCAGTCTCTTCATCTCCAGCATTGGAAGTATACTCAAAGGCTTCTTCAGGGACTTGACTTATGTTGCTCTCAGAAATTCCGAACAAGGAAATCTTGTCCTTATCCCTCACAAAGAACATGTATTGATGAACTCCATTGGGCTTCTCCTGAAAGTATCAATCGAAGTCAGTTATCGTGTTTAGTTTTATTTCGAAAGAAAGAGAGGTTTCATAAATATACGAAAAAGATTTCTTAGCTCCTTCAATATCTAGTCCTTCCTCAGTATTTGCCTCTATATTTACTGCATAAAGTTTGGAAGGAGCTTGATCGTTCAGTAAGAAAATCATATTTTTAGAGCCAATAAATCTTATTTTATTTATGTGTTTTATCCTTCTGAAAGCTAAGCTGGCAGTTTTGCACAATTCTGAGCTCCTCCTGAACCACAAAAATATCTGCAGTGAATAGACTTGTATTACCTTCTGCTGTCAGGATAAGTGTACCAGACACAGGAGGTCCTCCTTGTGTAGCTTCTAGAGTTCCTGGTCCAAAATCTTTATAAAATATCCTGTCAAGGTCTTCAGAAATATCAGTTATTTGAGCTTGATACATCAAAGCGGTATATTGCAAGCTTACTACAGTAATTTTGTTTTCATCATGAAGAATAAACCCATAGCATCGATTTGTAGAAATCACAAAATCTTTGATCTTTCCAACTTTATATTTCTTAGGATTTTTCATCAAATAGTGTGGCATCAAAGAAGGCTTCTCTGAAAATTTATCAGTCTGCAAGAACATATTGCCAGCCGTAATGGCTCCTCCAGGTGAGTTTGCTGTGAGATGCGTCATACAAAAATACTCTTCAGACCAACAAACTATAAGAGTTGCGGTTGGGTTCATCAAACACTGCATACTAGTAATCTCCACATCATACGCCATCTGATAAATCACCCCATACGTAAAGGTATCCTTATACTTATACATCCAGATCATGAGGCCTCCCTTATCATCCAGCGACAGCGCTTGGTTCTTACTATTCGGCGGAAACACAAAATCCACCACTCTCCGGTCCTCTCCCAACTTCTATACCAAAATCACGACTACGCCCAGTGACTCTTACCTTATGTTCATCGAAACTGCCTTTCCCAGACTTGACCTTGATGACATTAAGGGCAGCCCCGCTCGTATAGAAGAAGACTGACTTGTTAATCCTGATCTTAGTGCCTTCTCCTTCAGCTATAAGAGAGATTAGGGCGGAATGGAAGGGAGCTTACTCATGATGTATTTGTTGTCAGTGATCTTGGCCCCGTAGGTGTCGATGGGCGAACTGTAGTAGGTCACTTCTTTGTTGGTGAAGGACCGACCAACGAATTGGGGGTGATCTTGTTTGTCCATTTTTTTGGGTTTTGTGTAAATCAAATTTTATATGGTAGGAAGGGGTTTTGGGGTTTTGGGGTTTTGGGGTTTTGGGG